CAATCTTGAGGAGCTCCACACCACAGAGTTCTCCATCTACAAAGAAAAGTAATATCCTCACAAAGTTATTCATGAAGACTGAGACTAATGTACAGAAGATCCCCATGTATTGCACTTGAATAAGAACAATAAAACACTAAGTCTAGACAACAAAAAGACTGCATGAACCTTTTGCAATAGCAATTGACGATTAACTTTAAGGTGATTCATGCTTTCCACAGAGAGCTGCTTATAAAACATGGAATAAAATATTATGTTGAATTAACTGAAGAGTCTTTGCACTTAAGAGGACTATAAATGTACCCTAGAGAGCACTAACCTGGGTTTTTTTGACTTTGAAAAAGAGCTAACAGACTCCAGGGCCAAGACGCCAACCACTGCTCCAGGATTGTAGGTTTCAAGAATCTCAATCTTAGTGGGGTATACAGACTCTTCAAATTGAAGATCTAAAATAAAAGCAGGTTATTGACAGATGTCATTCTAAAAAATGACTGTTCAATAAATATTACTTTCCTCTAGCATCTTAAATTTCAATATACAGTAAGCGAAATAAAGATATTTTATGTTGAACAGGTTTTCATTTTACAGATTACAGACTTTCATTTTGTTTCCATTTGTTTTCCAAATTGTGGTACACAGCTACAGCTACAGGTGGTGTTGCATTTGTGTAGACTGCATAGCAGATATCACTTTTTTTGTTTGTTTTTCATTCCTCTAGTGGCTTAGCAACTTGCTCAGGTGTTCCCCTTCAAGACTGCCAGCTAAGCAGACTGTTATTATCACCTTGCATGAAATATCTCCTAATAATTCCACAAAGCTTTCAAGCTAATGCTATAATAGTGTATAATTTTGAATTCAAGATGATTATCAATAATTCATAATGCATGCCATACTGTGTACATAATCTTTTAAGATTTAATGAAAATGGCACATTTTGCACATCTCTTTGTTTAATGTTACATGGCTCCTCATGGTGATGCTCCCAAAAGTGTCTATCTCAGAAATAATTTGATCACTGGAATATATGCAGACTTGACAATGAAAATATTAGACATGAAAGGACATTCTCTCTGGATCATGTGCACTTCAGGCATCTATCAGCTGAGTATCAAATGATACTATTGGTTGACATGGCAACCCAGTGTTGGTCAGTATATTGGCTGATACTCAATAGACATGTCAACCAACTGTCAGTCACCATGTGATTCATGTAGGCAGACTGTTGGTTGAGACTTGGTTGGTATATCATTCAACACTCAGCCAACACCTTGACCATCACATTGTGATCAACAGTTAACAGCATTTTAGTTGAGTTTTGTGGTGCACAGGTGGACTGTTGGTGTTATATGCACCTTAATAAAACATGGCAACCAATATTTTAGAATTGGCTACCACTACAAAATATTTAGGAGCCAGTTGGCTACTGAAAGAAAAAGATTAATTTTGTGCCTTGTGATAAGGTGATCAAGTTTCAGCCAATGAACTGATTGCTGGTTGACATGTAGACCAATGGAATCGACCAAATCTTGATGCACAGATGCCTCAAGTACGCTTGACCCCTTTCTCTTACACATGTGTATTTTCTTACATGCGCTTATCAGCACCAACACATTGGCAAACTTGGACAACTGGAATACCTAATTAGAAGTTCGATTTTAACCCATCATAAAAAAATGTGTTGATTATGCTGTTCTTCATCAACCACAAAATTATATTTCCTACCAACAAAATCCTCACTGTTGAGTTTTCTTCTTGACTTGTCAATAGGGGCTCGGAATGATGGTGACATTTCCCACCATGGTCCATAAGATCTCTGGAAAAAAGAATGATCTCCTGTAATGATCGGTTGATAATATTTTCATTAAATGGATCCAACTTTAGTTAGTCTAACTTCAAGTGATTATTTTTAATATCTTTAGAGTAATTGAGAATCAAAATTGACAGTTATGGAAGTTTTA